CTGTGGCATTCACCTCAGCACAACCCAAGGATGCAGTGACTTCAAGCACTCCTGGGTGGGTGAGGGAAGGAGAGACCTCAGAAGAACCAAGAGATGCTACGAAAAAGGTTCATAAAAGGTAACGCGGCTACACACTTGTCACAGACATAATGATAAAACTGGTCATAGTCAATTTGTCAGGAATATCTGACACATCTGTAATTAAACCATCTGTCTGGAAACTTCTTAAATTACCCGGTTATTATACGGAAAATAATTTGCTCTGACAGAAGTGTCTCCATTTCCTCAGTATGCTTTGGAAAACACCTGAGTAACAAACATCCAGACAGATGTTTCTTTTTTTATTGATATGATAATGAATCGTATTGTCTTCAAACATATCAATGCATTTGGGAAATTAGAGTGTGAGAACTGAGGACTTCTAAATACTGTCCCTGTTTCTGTGTGTTCTCCAGAGAGTTTTGTCTCTGTAGAAACATGTGCACAGATGTGAGAACACCTACTGTCTGCTCAGGTGGTTGTCAAAGTTCCAAAGGATGTTGAAATGCAAGATATGTTTTAGGATGAGACAAAGATATTCCTGAGTTTTCTTCAACCTGCATGTTAATACTAGGACTGTCAAAATTACCACATTGACAGCATTCATTAATTTTCCAAATTAATGTGGTTCAATTTTTTAACACATTCAAATGACGGCAGAATCCCAGGCAGTGTACAGTATATCCAATAATGTGTCAGTCCATCCGCTGATCGTTGGTCTAATACACACTGTGTGAGAGAGTTTTGGTTTCACCGAATCACCTGGATCTTAGAATATCTCACCTCCCAGCATGTGTTTTTGGGGGCTTCAATTGAAGTCTGAGTCTGAGAGAAACCCAGGTCCATCCTGTAGAGAGTCACTGACAGAAGAACTGCAGCTGTGGACTGATGATCTGCTGCTCCGATCGAATTTAAAAGACTGGTCAAATGTATAGATTGATCAGAGTAGAATCAGCTGAGGCTGAGAGTGAACAGCAAGGGGAGGCGGTGGGAGGGGGTTGGGATGAGCCAGTGAGTAACACCTAACACCATTAATCATTGAGACAATAATCTGGTTCTCAACTGTCAACGCTGCTGTGTGGAAGTCTGCGTGGAGAAAACAGGAGATTCCAATCACCTGATAAAAAAAAAAGATAAGGAGCAGCCGGGAAAAGTCTCTGGTGACAAATATCCTTGAAACGTCGCTCTCAGATTATTTATACATTCCTATTTTGCTTTTACGGTTCAGTGATCAGATTCCTCTCTGTTTTTCTAAGAGAGTCTAATGTCTGGATGGTTGGATGGACAAGAACTGAAGAAAGGATGAAAATATCATGTTTTGTTTTTTTTTTGCCTGGAGAGAGGGGAAGGAGTAGAGGTAACAGGAGAGGAACAAAGTGGGCTTTATAGATTTCACTGAACCCAGCTCAGATATGACCCTGTGAGTGGTTCGACATCTGGTCTGTTCCAAGGACATAAAAACCAAATATCCCAGAGAAAAAATTCTGCAGTGTGACCATCTGGTGAACCTACCACGTGAACACCTGCTGTAGTGTGAGGACAGTCAGCACCAGTGGAAGAAAATACGTTTCTTCTTGGTCTCTGAGAAAATATTCCTTCTCCAGACGACCTGGTTTTGTATTAACACAAAATCAAGGAATTGGTTTCCACCTCTTGGTCTTCTTCAGCTCAGGGTGAAATTGTCTTATTGGCTGAGACAATATTTGCCTTTCCAAAACTGAAAGACCAATGTTAGCAGGTCAGGGTCAGTGTTTTGCTCCAGTTTTTTTTATCTTGTGACTAATCCAAATGATAGAATTATTCATTTGTAAACATGTCCATAAAAATGTCCAACAGCCTCAGTGAAAGTGTTTTTTCATAGAGTTGGTGACTTTTAGTCATTACTGGACGCTGTCTTGAAGAACGTGTGGGGAGTTTCTTTCTAAACTTCGGTCCAGTCGTTGTCCTGAACATTCTTGAACAATTCATTTGACTGTTCTGCTCTGACACAACCTGGCCTGAGGTTGAAGCACCCACAGACACATGCTGGCTCTGGTGGACATTGAAACTCTTTCCTGTAGTGCAGGCATGGCCAACCCGTGCCTTTGTCCCATCTCATGTGGCTCGTTCGTATATGTTGAATTATGTGGTTGTGTTTTGTGTATTATTTTACGCTGTGTGAATCTCACGTGCATGGGCGTTGATGCAAATGACTTGAAGGGAAAAACCACTGAGTAGTGTAGGCTTACCAAGTTCACTCTCAAAATGGCAGAGAAAAATGCACAGCAAAGTGAAGATATGAATATGAACACTGGAGGGTTTTTTTAAGGTGTACGAGCAGTTCATTTGTGTCCATGTATATCATGTGGCTCCTTGCAGTAATACAGTAAAATCTTAGCCTCTGAATAGTTGACCACCCCTGCTGTAGTGTGTGCACTGTAAATAACACTTGTATGGACCTTGTTGTAGAGCCAGAGTAAGTGGATGGATTATTACTATGAATTATTAAATACACACTGTTGTCAATCTGTGCACGTGTTTAAATATTGTCGTCTGCTCAGTTTCACAAATGAATCAACATGGTTAATGTGTTTGTCTTGAAAGTCGTTGTTCAGTGGAGACTAGCAGTCACTTGGTTAAGAGCTAGTTAATTACCCCCTGCATATAAACCATCAGTCTTCTCAATCTGTGAATGAAAAGATTGAAATGATTGACCTTTTTAAGAACACATGTTCTGTCCACAGCTCCCTCCATAGGTTTTCCATTTCTTTCTGAACCTCTCTCTGTTGAAGCTGTAGTTTTTTTTCTGTAGCTCCTTCAGTTGTAAATCGTTTCTCCTCCTCCTGCTGGTTGGTAGACCTTTTATAGGACGGTCCATGAAAGAGATTTTTTTTCTTCGTGCTGGGATGAGACAGGAAGAGTGACAGCTAATTTCATCATAACTTCAGCTCCATTAGAACAGCTGACAGACCGTGCAGAGGCTATTACCACAGACTGGATAGTGACGTGCAGTACTTTCACTGATGCAGTAATACCTGGTCAACTCCTGTCATTGGAGTAAAATTGGTCTGACTGGTGATGGTCTAATCTCTGCTCACGTTCCAGATTATCGTGGGATTATTGTGGGTTACTCTACAGAAAGTTCCAGTTTGGAAGAGTTTACATTAGAGACTTGAAAACTGGCATCGCTGTAACTGCTCTGCTGCCACCAGCCTGTGGAAATCTTTACTACGTCTTTTTACACTTTGTCAGTTACTAATAATAATAATAATAAGTTAATAATAAAACCTTCACAAAAATATGTCACTTGTCTACTGCCAACATCGCTTATTCTCCCACACTCATAAAACCCTCATCTCGTGATAATCACGCTAATACTAGCTAAAATCTAACTGGCTATCAGAAAATGATAACATATATGTCCACATATATAAAAATGACAGGTGAAAAAAGAGGAATTCTTGTGCAGCTCTTTTGTTGTTTGTGGAAAACTTGAATATATATACAAATGAAAATCTCAATAGTGGCAGACAAGGAGCCTGTACAACAGCAAAGACTTCCAGTTGACTTCTTCACTGTGTTGTCATACATATTACATCCCACATGTCATGTACACTGTACATTCTGACAGTCACCCATCTTCTCAGTGTCTCTTCTTATTCCACCAAAGTGTGGAGGTTGACAGACTCCTGGGAGTGGCGTGTGGAGGCTTTGACAGGAAAGGGGCCCAGAACATAGGGCTCAGGGACCAGAAGTAAGAATGTAGGTAGAGGTTGGATTCAGAGGCTTTTTTTAGTGGATTGCAGTTGACAAGACATCAGGTTCCTGGTGGTGGTGGTGGGGCAGGGGGCAGTGAGAAGCCAAGGTTGGCTGGAGAGTACAGTGGAAGATAGAAGTACAACCTGCATTAAATGATTGTTGTACAGTACAATGACGAAAGGCTTTGTTCTACTAGAATACAAAACTAAAAGTTTCTGTGATCAGGACACTGATGTCGGCGGGTCCTACAAACACACGTAACTTAAAGATATTCATTGAAGGACAGAGATTCATCCTTGACTTTCTATAAACCACTTTCCCACCGTGTGGCCCTTCTTACCAAATGCTTTGGTTAAATTGGTAACAAAAATTGCATCAGTAAAAATGTCACGGACATCCTAAGGTTTCAGTGCTTAGCCCCAAAAACAATGCAGCCATAAATAAACTGCTGTTTTATACCAAAAGGTCTTCACTTCTTATCTCTCCTCCATCTATTGCATATTTTATCTTTTCTCCTTCAGCTTCTCCTCCCCCCTAAAAAGCACAGCAACTGAATTATAGTCTGGGAATACTCCTGCCCTTTCTCAGAAACTATATGTGGTGTTCAGTGTTTTAGCCATAAATTCACCTCCACAAAGAGAAGGGAAGGTGAAAAATGTGGAATGTGGAAGTTTCTTTTTAAACTAGAGAAGGGAAGGTGAAAAATGTGGAATAAAGTTTAAAAAGAAATGGGAGAATTAAATGCAAACTGTCTCTGCCTCTAACAAGAACACACTGATGTACAGCATGTCAGAGCAGCTATGTGAGGTGCGATTTTAGACTCAGAAACTGATGAAGAAAATCTTGGCAGAAATACAAGAGCGGGGTGAGAGGCTGGAAGAAAAGTGTTGGTAGTTTTAAGGAAAAAGAAATTGCCCTGGCAGCTTATTAGTTCAATCAATCTGATCTGTATGGGAGAGGAGCGAGTGGTTGACAAGCTGCACGTCGTTGAGTGTAACTGATGATGCTGCGTCCTCATTCTCATCCTCCCGTCTCTCTGACGCTCAGGTGCTCAGACGGCGGTAGCTGCCAGATGTGACTGTGACTGAAAGTGTTCATAAATAAATCCAACCATTTTTTATCGCCTCATATAAAAGCACCGTTTACAAGAGTGAATGTAGATTTGGTTGCTAGTAACAACTGCAGGGGAAGATAATTAATGCAGAGACTCGGTCTCAAAATGTTGTGTAATTTTACAAGCTCAGATTCATTTTACATTTATCAGTCATACATCATTGTGTGCTACTGTAGGTTACAGAGAGCAAAAACACAAGCTGATGGAGGTTTGTCAGATCTCTAATG